TCCCGATCTAGGCTCGACAGAGAAGCACGTCTTCGGCTAGATGAAAGGCTTTGTAGACGAGTAATAAGTCTTCCTTTGGAGTTCGGACACTTATTGAGAGCTTTAGCTCAAAGTGGGTTTTGTATACGAAGCTCAGCTTGTAGGAGAGCTCAGAATGACTGGGTACGTCCGAGAAGTCTAAATATACATCCAGGCACAAATAAACTTTCTCCGAAACTTAAGAACGATACAATGGGGTTTATTACAACTTTAACCTCAGAACACAACACAGAAAGCACGCAGGACGGAGAGCAATCCCCCACGCCCCAGCATAGCTCTATTCAAAATGCCACGGTGGAGGTAGCACAAAATTTTAAATGCCACGAATTCTATACGTCCTGCGAGCTGGCAATTACCTACCTGTCTGTTCAAGTATAATGAATGACACATCGCCTTACAAACCCATCGGATAGTGTTCTTAAACTTCTTTCTCTTGTATACCTGCTTTTAACCTGACGTTCCTCCTTTATCAGCTCAAAAGGTTCTGAATTTTGGTTTAGAAGAACCGTACTGCTCTGTATCCACAAAGAACCTCTCCCTATTATGACTTAGACTCGTATCCTAATCTTCTCAGAATTGGAGTCCCATTTCTATTCATATAGAGAGAAAACTACTACTTCAGCTTAGTTAAGATAAGTGAGAATGTCCTTACCCATATATTAGTGTGTACAGCGGTAGGTAATAAGTGATGGAATGGCCTGAGACGCGTGCACGGTGATACCTGTTTTGGGTAAAACGCCACCCACATACGGTGTTTGCAGGTATAACTGTATCTCAGGGCTTTCCGTCACTTATTACCTACCGCTATACAACGTTGAAGTTTGCCTTATACAAAGATAATCTAACGATGTATGATGAGTCTATTAAAGGTTGCTGCCCCTGAGGCTATCAGTTCAAATTGGAGTTGTCCACACTCGTGGCCGTTTGTAACCCAGTTGATTTGATAACATTAATTTCTTTTTTGACCATGGGTGTAACTACAGCCACTCAGCAAAAGTGTTCGTGATTTAGTTTTAATGTCAGTGCGCAGTGTGGCGCACCCGTGACGTTGATGTTATTAATGGAGAGATTCAAGCTAAAGAAAAACAGGTAATGTAGTTTGCGACTACATATAAAAGAAGATATCTTATTGATCTTATTCTTCATTAATTCCGGGCTCCATTGGTCACTGGGAAAGTTTTCTCTTGGGGGTTCTTGATGGTCCGCCACGGTTACATATAGAGAAATGTCTCACTCTGAAATCGGAATCACGAACACTTTTGCAATACAATTCGCTCAGAACAGTAAGTACACGCGACCCTGTACCCTGAAGATCTTTGGCTGTATCTGACCAACACCAGAAGTACGTTCCGTCGGGACGAGGGCATTTATCCTTCTGAAGCAGATATATCGGTAGATTTGATTGTGTATACCTATCGTGCGTTCTGTCGGTGGGATCCGAGCCCGGAGAAATAAGTACCGATCGGGCTTTGGGTTATGCCATCAGCGTATGTTGTCTTGATTCCAGAGTTTGGTACATTTTCTCCATTGGTAACCCAGTCGAAGATATTCAGCTCGGAGTTCAAGTATCACCCACCTTTATCCGAACCCAGCCCGGACGGGATACGCACGTTTAAGAGAGAAACATCTCATCAAAAATTTTTATACTCTCAAGAAAAACCAAAACCGCAACATAGTTTACACTCATTATGTGATGATGGAGGGTCTCACTACTGGTGAACCAGGGTACAATTTCATCATTAATCCAATGGTTTTACAAATATCGTTCTAAGTTGGTTTTAGTAGACCCCAGTTCACCAAGAGGTAGAGGATTTTCTATCGACTAATAAGTGGGCATAGTGCGGTTCATAAGCTAGGCGTTACCAATGAATCCCTTATAAAAGTCTCATAGTCGTAATACATATAATGAGGACATCCTTTACCCACTCGCGGTAGGGATTATAATCAAGGTTAGTGTTCTGGATCATAGGATATCACTCGTGTGATTCTAGAACAGGTACTAATCGATTGATAATCGATTGATTAGTAGTTCATTTATTATTTGCAGTGGAACTGGCTTTTGGCTCCTACCTTACTTTATAGTTTAGCAGAGATTGACGTAGGATACCTTAATTCATCTCAAACTTAGTACAGCAATTGATGCACCAGCACAGCAACATATTACTAGGAAGGACGCAAAGTCTCCGGGTCCTGTGACCCTTAACTTTAGTCCTGCCACCATGATACTAGAAAACAGCCTACACGTGACCCGGAGAATTTACGCCTTTGCTAGTACCGGTCTAGTCAGCAAGTCTCGGGCTTATACCTCCGGGTACTCTGGCATTATCAACATTCTATCACTCTCACAACATTCATCAAGATTGACACACATTCATAATTACTCAAAGAAGACGTAAAGATTTCAATATAAAGACTGTTCATCAATTTATACTCTCTGTACAAAGATATACCACATGCTAATATAAAGAGGGTCTATCCTCTTATGGTTTTCAGTAGCTATACTGCGTCCCTCAAAAGGTTATACGTATAGTAAACGGGGCGAGGACAAAGGAGATATGCAGAATAAGTTGACTGACAATGTGTGCAGAGATGAGATGAAAAAAATACAACATGCTGAAGGGTATCATGATCAGGGGAGAAAACAAAGATGAGTGGGTATCAGAAAGGGTAAGAGAATGAAAAAGGTGTTAGTTGTCATGAGGAAAGTTGGGTACAGGCCGGGGTTAATCGTATCCACCGCCAAAAAAATACAAAACCTCTTTCCAGAACATACACACACGTTAGTTGGCCAACTTGATCAACAACTTGACGGTGTGGGCACCACGGAGGCCCGAGCTAACATTGGCACCAACGCCCCTCTCCCTCAAACGAGCCAGCATGTTGTCCCAGTCAGCGTTCTCTGGCCTAATTTCCAACTTTTCGCCCTGATTATCCTCTTCTTCCCAGCCTCTCCTCTTGACCACCAAGGTGATACCGACAATGTCATCGACGCTGGGAACTCCCATCCTGTTGATGATACCCTCGTTGAGGATTCTGTCCCAGCTCTGGTAGTCGGGGTAGTAAAGACGCATCACTTCGTCAACCGCAGTATCCGGATAAAGGGCTCTGATTCCTCCCGAACGGCGCACACGGGCCTGAAAATTGATATTACTGGCGAGGGTTGCATTGTGCGATTCGTAATCCGGGTTAGTGATGGCAGGAATCAAGACCGCTGGAAGAGGGGTGAGCAAGTGCTGCGCGTAGGCCTCGGCTTCGGTGAGCACTCTCTTGGCTGGAGGAGTGACGGCGGCGGTAAACAAATCAGCTAGCGAGCTGTTGCGCTTGTTTTGAGCGGGAGAAGAACTGAGGGGATCAATGTCCATGAAGTCGGAAAACTCGCACTTGGGCATGTTTCTGGCACTGCGGCGTAGGGTAGGCTCCTGGAGGGCAGCAGCAGAGCCATACTCGGGGTCGGCGTTGAGGCTTAGCGGGAAGGCGTTCGCAGCAGAAGCAGTATTGAAGGTAGACATGATTTTCTTTGATGGCGGAATCGGGAGAGAAATAAGCTTTTGGCAGCGGGACGAGGAGTGCGCTAAGATTATGAAGGTGAACGGAAGGAGATAAGCGTCGGATGCGTGATGAGAATGGATGTGTGATGGATGTGTGATGGATGTGTGATGGATGTGTGATGGATGTGTGATGGATGTGTGATGGATGTGTGATGGATGTGTAATGGATGTGTGATGGATGGTGATGAGTGACGCAGGAGAACAAGCGTGGGATTTAGTGGTGATGCAGGGGACGGGAGAGGGAGGTGGGAACGGGAAATGGGTGTGTGTGCTTGGTTGAGCTTTGGGTGACGTAGTGGCGTGACTGGCTGTTTGTGTGCACTGCTCTTGTGGGCGAGGGGACGGCCTGTAATGCCTGCGCAGCTGCTGCCTAGCTTGCCGATGTGCTGCGTACGCACTCTGTCCCGTTACATGTGTTTATCTACTTGCACGGGCTGCCTACATGTACCTGCCTGCCGCATGTACACGCTTGAGCGTACTATTTTACATAGCGGCGTTGGTGCACACGCGTACAATTTGCCTATTATTCCTATCTCTACCGTGCCTAGCCTTTCCTCCGAGTGATGGCTCGAGTACGAGTGATACACCATGCTTCACCGCCTTCTCGCCCCCACAAAGGGAAAACAAGCGGCTCGAAACATGCGGAATGAATAATCACGTAAAAATAAATAAATACCGATGCAGGAACACGGATGTGGATGTTGCGGATGCAGGTACCCCGCGGATCGGCGTGGTGCCAAGATGCGTGGTGGGGTTGTTGTGCGTGCGCTGGGGCCAGGCCGTACCTTGTTGCGCTGGTTGCGACAGCGCGCGCGGGCCATGGCAATTGGTTTTTTTTTTTTTTGCGAGCAGCGACTCCTTCTCCCCAAATTTCCGTTATGCCTTCTGTGCGTAGATGTTGTGAAGGGGTAGGTACATGTACATGTACTTCATCAAGTGAATCCAGCTCAGTCACGGCCCCAACGGACCTGTTTTTCTGTGTTGGATATTTATTAATAACCCCCTTTTAGTCTATTATATTATCATGGGTCTGTCTAGGATGTGCAAATGATGATCTTCAACATGGTCCTTGTTTGGGGGCCGATGGTCGTTCTGCAGGTGGATAATACTAATGGTCACTGTGCTGGAGGGATTACACTGCTGAGGAATCTGCGGCACCAGGAAAAGGGTGAACTCGAGTTATTCGACCCGTAATTGGGGAGTGTCTAAAGATTAAATAGAATAACTACTACTAAATATCCTACATCTATGCCATCAATCATGCCGTACGTAAAATGCAAAAAAACGCCGCCCATCATGCAAAGAAAAGGTCCATCAATCATCATCACTCCAATGTGTCTACAACCTAGTCTCGTACCCATTCCCTATGAGTAGCAAGCTGCTCACCGGTAGGAGGGTTGGGTACGAGCCTATCTATAACCCTACCACCATGGCTCCAATCACAATCGCTACAGCTAGTAACGATACCCTTGCTCCTTCCTCTGCGCCATTGGCCGCGGGTAAATTGCCTCCTTGTTGCGTGTCGTTGACCACGCTGCTATTATTTAGCCCCCTCCCACCCTCCCCGCCTTGATGCCACCCGGTGGAGTTTCCAGTGCTTTCATTGACAGACGGTCTTCCACCCTCTCCGCCGGTTTGCCATCCGGATCCTGTGGAGTTGGCAGAAGTCTCATTCCCCCCAGGTCTACCGGGTTCGCCGCTGGTGGTGCTGTTGCTTGATCCTACGGGCCCATCCACACCCCGTCCGCTCTCACCGCCTGACTGCCATCCAGGACTACTCTTGACTTTCCACGCCTCCGGAAACGGGAACGGCCGGGTGTCTAGGCCGGGACACACCTGGCGCGGGTCCAGCACGTTGGGCTTCTGGGCGCTGGTCTCGTGCAGGTAGATGCTTGTCTGCACTGCGCAGGAGCTGTTGCAGAAGGCGGTGGTTGTATTGAGGGTTTGCATGAGGGCGGGGTTGTAGAGGCGGGTGAGGGATTTGGTGGTGGCGTTGTAGGTTGTGCAGAAGGGGTGGGTGGAGAGTGTTCTGTGGGAGTGTGTTAGAGATGGAGAAGTGGAGGAGGGAGTGGAGTGGGGAGGGGGTGGGGGGACTTACGGGTCTGTTAGGCATGTGGCGAACCAGGCGGTTTCTAGCCATTGCGTTTTCGGGTCTAGGATTTTTTGTAGGGTGATTGTGCCGCTGCTGGGCGGGATGTAGGAGGAGGAGGAGGCGAAGGTTGCGTTTGTGCAGTCTCTTCGGATGTCACTCGTCCACTGTGTTAGGGCGCTGTAGCATTCGGATGTGCAAGTGCTCGCCAGCAGCGTGGGTGCGAAGCGGATACTGGCATCGGTGGTGTTGTCGACGAGAGATAGCAGGTCGGGGCTGCATGGCAGTGGGCGGGTGTAGGTTGTTGAGCAGGTGCCATTTGGCGGGATGGTGGTGTCGTCTGGGAAGGTGAATTCGGCGGATGTGAGGAGGGGGAGAAGGAGGAAGGGGAGGAGGGGGGATAGTTTTAACATCTTGGGGTGGGTAAAGAGAGGGCGCCGAGCCGTACAAGTGTAACACTGTGAGTGACGTCTTATGTCTCAGGTAAAGTGGCAGGAATTGAGTTTTCGAATTGTGTACTTTAGGAAAATAAACCTTAGAGTTTAGAAAACCATTATATGTTATAGTCGAAAGGGGAGGTCGCATCTTTATACGCGTAGTGCATAACTACACAAGACTCCACAATCACATCAGAGCATTCTGCTCGTTCGTGGCTATGGTGTGCCTTTGCAAATTCAATCTACGATCACGTCTCCCCACAGGAACCCAACAACATGCGCCGCGTAGAAAACGTTCAAGACACTGATATCTACTAACTAGTCTTATCCAAACGAGACAGCTATTCTATGAGCCAAGTCCGAAGCGGCGTCCACTAGCGGGCCCAATTAATCCCGGCAATTGACCGCATAGGGGAAGGTCTTAGGGGATCGAGCCATACTTTAGCCTGGAAAGGGATAAATGGCTTTTTTTCTACTCTTTTTTTCTACCGCGAGTGTACGAAAACGGTCTTCGAGGGGCAGGAAGCTGCTGAATAAGGGCGTTCGTGATCTGTAAGACAGGTGCAGATAGGTTCACTTATCGAAACTGGCGTTTCTGGGAATTTGAAATACCGAGGTGGCGAGGATGCTAGACTGCATCGAAGTGGATCAGTTGTTCGGTGTATCCGATGGCTGAGGCTGGTTTTTTTGTGGGCTGTGAAGTTGAAATAAGCGCCTGACGCCAGGAATTGGTGCACGGACGCTAGCGCTAGATCTGCTAGGGGGTACCCGGGTAGAGTATCAACCTTAATCTTAGTTCAATCCTCATGCCGAGCTATGTCATCAATAAAGTCTTTGAATTTGAGAGCTAGCAGTGTTTACACGGTATTTGTATTACTTTCTGGTTCCCTTTCAATTACACCCTTCATCGCTTTATCATGTTCTTTCCCAGCCCGTCGTTACCCAGTTCTCCCTCTCTCTCTCCATCTCCAATCTCTCGCCCATCTACATCTGTTCATTACTGATTCTAGGAGACGGTATATACAGGTTCCGACATTATTTCGCCGCCAACCATACTAAAACTAGTTCAATCATACATGTACGTCACTTCCACCAAGAAATTATACCATCATCGTTTCAATTATCTTGAAAGAATTGTTCTGATATACTAATTGAGGAAGTAGACGAACCGATATGCTTATAAAATCTCTAGGTTCATCTACCGTTAAAGACTGTGATTCTCTACACTTACCTCCTTCGCTCATCTTCTTCATTCCAGAAGCGGGAGAGATCGATGATAGTCTACAAGAGAGTATACAAGTACCCGAAGATGCAAGCCCTAATCTGCAACTGCTATTGGAGTAGGAGTGAAAAATGCACAAAAACCTGTTTTAAGATACTTCAGGCCTGTCGTGAGAACAAAGGAAATAAAACTATACCGGTTTTCTGATTCATGTGGGCTCTGGGATAGATAAAGAGTCGGTCGCATATTCCGGGTAGTCCTGGAAGGCACGGGGGAATGGAGTCAGGAGGAATAGAATCAGAAGGCCACGAAGGATAACGGACCACACAATCTTCCGAATCATAAAGGATCACTTTACATTATCCGGTCGCCTCTACAGTTATATAAAGGGTCTAGGGCCCCACTCATAGAGAGCCACTTCAATTAATGAGTTAAAGAAAAGAAAAGAAAAAAAAGAGAACTACTTCATGGATAATCACTCGGTCCATTCCCGCGGCACAAGGCCGTGTTTGGACGAAGGTCTGCGTAACCACAGAATCTCAGGCAACAATATAAACAACTGTTTTTCGAACTGATTACTAATGCCCAATTAGGTTGCTAGTATCGATTAAGGTATTTAAGGCGATAGGACGGTTTTGTTTCAAATCTGTCTAGAGTTATGATTGACCTACCATGGTGCAGCTAAATCAGAGTATCTGACGGCCGCAGCACTGATCTTCTTCTTCAGCTCAAAATCCTGTTTAAAGCGCAAATATTTGGATTGGTTCACAGAGGCTCTACTTACTCTAAACTCCTTGAAAACTATATACTTATGAATAATACCTTGCAGCACCAATACTCGAAGACGATACGCGTCTGAAAGTTGCTCAGCATTTGTTCCTACAAGATCACCAGGTACGTACGGATGTGCTATTACATCCGGTCCGGGCGGCTGAAGTTGTACCTACTCTACTCTAGTCTAGGAGGCTTTGCAGCTTCAAACTAATGCAGGTACAAAATTCTTGGGCTTTGAGGAATTTCTTGCCACAGAAATTGACAGAATACATACCTGACGACGAATCATTCAACTTTGATAAGGTCTATGTGCCTCATGGAGCGTGCGCACTGGAACATACATATGCGAGCCATGTTGTCACTTGAGTGCGCAGGCATGTATCCTTGTCAATTTACGTAACGGGTCTAGTTTCTTACTAGCAAGGAAGGAGAATTTTGCGGTAAAATCTACTGATCTACTCTACTCTAGAATACCAATATTGATATTTTGGGATTCCATGAACTAGGTAGACATGTCTCACTATAGATTTCCACTTGTTTTGCACACACGAGGAGGAAAAGCACAATATATAAACCACTGGATGGAGCATTTCAGTTCTGGTAGGCGTTGCGTGTGATCGCGTGAGAGTACCTACTCTGCTGGTGCTCTACATACATATGTACATACATCATATGTAGAAAATGACTGAGAGTGGGTAATGTATCTTTGCGTATTATGCACATATCGGGCTGTAGCTACGTGTAGTTGTGAAGAGCACAGTTCATCATTGGCTCCAAGAATTTCCGGGGTGACCGTCTAGTGCTATTAACTTTCGTCACTGCGCAGCTTCGCATCAATGCAACAAATAGGAACAACAGATCAGACATTGTTCTGCATATTGCCCGCCCACGTTTCAAACATCAGACGTCGTGGCTAAGCTAGGAGGGGCCGATGCATGGCTTAATGATGTTGATTTCCCCACTTAAGGTTTTTCTTTTTTCTCGCTCCATTTAATATCAACACTTTCCCTCATTTTTGAAAAAAAATCTAAAAGTTCATACCTTGAATACCACACATTATCACCATGGCATGCCCCCTCAGTCTCGGCGATATTCTATCCGTCGTTCAAATCTGTTACAACATCGGCAAAACACTCACTGTAGGCCGACTCGAAGCAATTCAGGAATTTAGAGGAGTTGAGAGTATCCTTCACGCCCTTGGGGAATCACTAAGACATCTAGACAATGAGATCAAGAAGCCGGGTTCAATCTTCGCGCGTGGTGCAACTGCCCAAACTGCAATTCAGCTTGTATGGAATTGCTCAGTGAAGTTACAAAGCCTGGAGAAGATTGTGGTGAAATACTACCCGGCGATGACGGAAAGCGAACTCAGTTGGGGGGAGTGGAGCCGGGGGCTTATGGACAACTACTTGAGGGTAATGTGGACGAGAGAAGGGAAGGAGTTAACGGCTTTGTCGACTGAATTGACCCTGCATATGACTGCAATCAACACCTTCATCTCAACTACAAATAGGTAATACACCAATTTCTGCCCATCCCCAAAGAATAATTGGATTAACTAATTTAATCCACAGCGCGGCGTTGGGAAATATCGATAATAAAGCGAGCCATATACTCAATGGGATAGGGGGTCTTGACGGAAAGGCAGATGTAATCATAGACGAGATCCGCAGGTTACAACATTCAAAGCCAGACTGTACACACCCCGGGAGCAATATAGAAAAGCCAACTACTACCCGAACTCCATCTCCGGTCGAAAAGCCTGCACCAGTAGTATCGCCAGACGCTCATTTTCATGCCTGGCGGTCAAAACACCCGGAGGGACTACCTTATGTTTCGGAGCAACGATGTAGGAAGATCGATAGTATATCTTTGTGGGTAAATTCGGCGGTTGCGTGTTTTATTTGACTCTTTCTAACCCGTGGCTTGTTACATACAGTGAACTTGAGATATCCGAGGAGAGGGAAGATGGAACTAGATATCTGATATGTCCAAATGCCCAACTAAAGGGCTTTCATTTCTCAGCAACCCCACCAGGAAGAATACGAGAAGATCTTTTCCAATGCGATTGCAAAGGGAGCTCGGTGCTCAGATCCTCAGGGTGCCATACAAAACAATTGAAGGAGTATTCTTGTACGCATCATTAGGATAAGAGTCAATTACTATAAAGGAGTGTTCACTGACAAATCCCCAAAGGTGGTCCGAAGACGTTCCTTGCCCAATCGCACTATCAAATAAGCACTCCTCTACGTAGTAAATGTTGGTGGCTTTTACAAACTCAAACAAAGGCAGGAGTCCAAAAGAATCTTTTCCTGACAGTCAAGGGAATCGAAAGTACTATACTCCCATTTTCATCCTATATTATGACGATTATAAACCGGTGTCATTATCTAACCGCTACATAGAACGGCCTCAATTCACTGAGACTATCGCGTCAATGCTCAGGACAAATGTCGCAAGGAACATTCTCAGTGGAATAACAATGCCTTTCGATCTTGCCAGGAGGGCAAAGAAAACATCCTATGACGGTGACGATGATGACCGGCTTCACATCGCATGGTCCTATGAGTATAGTCTCTCAGTTTCTCGTTCACTGAGCTAAAATCCGTATTTTTACTAATACACAGTGCAGTGAGAGAAGAGTAGGTAAAATTGGTACAAAGGTCCGCGTAGATAAACTACCGGGGAAAGAACGGATCGAGTTTTCAAATCCGATGGAAGACCCCAAGAAAAGAAGATTCTCATATGAGGACAAAATTCAGGATTATTTCACGAAGGAGGAGTCCCCCAGCTTCTCATGGTATCGGGTAGCCATGTTTGAAAGTTTAAACATACACAGCTCCGTCGAAGATAATGATCCTGAAGATGCACATTTCTTTCTGGACCATTTCAACGCCTCTGTAGAATTTAAGGTGGAATTGAGTCACCCAAAAGACCCGGGCCATGTATATTGGGGTGTCGGAGAATGTAAGGATACTTCTTATGGTTTATTAGTTTAAATTGCTAATTGTAACAATTTTTTCTAGTTGGTGGGGCCAATGCAGAGATACATAAAAAATACAATCAATACTCAGATAAAAAAGAATCCAAGCCTAACGAACTCAGATTTAATATTTCAAGGTTTACCCTCGCAAAAGGCGAGGACTGGAATAGTCCACAGCCGGTCAACTGCTCTCTGTGCTTTACCTTTCCCCCTTGGAGTTCAGGTTCGCCCTCAATTTGTACCGGTTATCAAGGAACACTGCTTATATCCCCGTCACAGAGTCACAGAAAACTATGAGCGGAATTTGGGGAAAATACGAATCACTTTCGACTACGACAGGTCGGTCTGCAACTGAATTTGCTCTTGCAAGACTAGCCACTCAAACAAAAGGAAATCCACAATTTCTGATGTAATACAAGATATTCCTGAGGGTGACTTGAACTGAGACTGACAACATCTAAGGAGAGTCAAAAACGCTATATTCGAAAAAGTTTCAATAAGAAGTCAAGACCAAGAGTCTTTGAACCGACACGATTTTGATCCTAGTCAAACTTTCCGTAATTGCTGGCTTCTTGTGAGGAAAAGCGAAAATCCCAAAGCACCGTTAAGATTCACATTAAGAAGTATGAGACAAGATATCCACTGTAATATCTACTGTGAGTTTTTATCTCTGCCTCTTGTCTAGTTTGTGTTGAAATATTGACTTGAAATCGCACAGTGTCCCCAAAGGATGCCTTGAGCTCAAGAGTACCCGGAAACTCTAACTATGAAACGACCTCCATGGAGCTACACGAGCCCTCCTCCCAGGAGAATGAAAAATCTAGAACATCATGGTGCTGGATTTATCCTCGAGAGCTCTACGGCGCGTCACCTTCCCCTATTAACATTTGTGGTTCTTTAAAATTGAAATTTGCCTCAGAGTCTGGTATGGTCCCAACTGATTTGGCCGGAATTGCCGATTAAAGTTATTTAACATTTTAAATTAGACTTCAACAGCTTCGTAAAGGGTATGCAATGTCTTTTGAATGCTTTAGGGTTGGCAAGTGAATACGATACTCTCCCGCCTTACATGCCGCCAGAGAACCAGTATACAACTCACAAGCCTAGTATTAATATTCATTCACATATCGAACAAAATTCTGCAACGAACCTTGAAGACCCACTGCGCCGTTCAAAGACTCTTCCTTCAAAATCTGAACCACCTCACATTCTAAGGGAAAGAACCTCCTCTTGGTCTGTGGGATTAACACCTCCGAGTCCAGAGCTAAATGCAACGGGACTCCAAGTTAACCCACAAATGCAGACATTAAATAAGCGTAGTAGCATGTTTGTAATAACACAGGGGAAAGCATGGGAGCCATCCCCGCCTCGTTACGATCTGCCAGGATACCAACCACATGTCGAGAGGTCAGATCATAATTGGCAACAGTCAGGTGTGCCAGGGGCGGTCGTTATGCCAGACGTTGGCCATTTTGTCGAAAATTCTCCAATCCTGCAAGCCAGTAGCCCAACTATTAGCAACGACTCGCATGGCGGCCAAGGATGGAATAAGGAAACCAACTACCCCAATTATAGTCATGGGCCGCACCTAGAACGGGCTTGGACAGAGCCTACAAATAACAACCCCAAGGATATGTCACTAATCCAAAGACCGTTATCAGTATTCCCCGAGAATCCTCATAACAATCACTTAATGCAGAATACACCAAGATATACACACGGTCCTGTATCATACCCTCCTCAACTGCATCAATGGCAGCAAGACCCCAACCTCCACTATAATTACAACAACGGACCGAAGCGCTGTATCGTGATATCAGACTATGTGGGATCCCCCCAGAATAACGAATTATCGTTGCGGGCGGGGCAGATTTATAATGTCGTCCCACAGCCGGATGGTTCACCATGTAAGAGAATCTGTCCATATGTTCCTAGCTACACTTTCCCATGGGAGATGTATTGACTCGTTACTTTGATTTAGGGGTTTGGATAGACGGCAATTCATGCGGGCCATCAGGCTATGCCCCAAAGAGTAACTTGAGGGAATATTGATATTATGTAGGCTCATATCATGAGCGCCATTGCTGAGGTCTAGTAAGATATTAATTTCAAAGGTTTGTGGACGTGTATTTTACCATGTAAATAAGGGCTAGACTGTACAGAGTTCCCTTACGCTCATTAATATTAGTTTCCTTTGTTCTGAGAATTGCGATGCAATACCTGTATTTTGATATGTTTTCATTCACGTAACATGAATTATGAGCACGAACAGCAGCTAGATATTCCGTGCTTTTTTAGAGTATCTAGGATATACGGTTCTGGATCAGAAGTCAGGAGAAAACTATACACGCAGGTACTTGTAGGTAGCTCATGATGTATCACAACCCATGCATGCCACGTTTTAAGATGTCTTAGCCTCCAGCGCCGAGCTGGACTGCTGTCACCCGTAATCCCTGCAGCAGCGTTCGGCCCGTGCTCGTTCGTTACACCCGAACACAACTCCCCAGACTTTCGGCTAGCATTCTTTAGCGTGACTGGCGATAATATTAGCCGAAACTCGCTGTGGCTGAAACTCGTATTTCTCGGTATCCGTTGGCGTTTGCGGGGGTGGGGAGCTCAGTACGACCTAGGCACTGGACAGCCAATTAGTGTAAAACAGGAGTCGTGTAGGCGGGGTTCAGTCTCGAGATACGGGTCAAAGTATCACTGGGAATTCCGTTTCCACTGATCTAACACTGGCCCGGGTCCGAACAACACCTTTGTTCTATCCTGTTGTACTACATGAACCTGAAAGGTTATGACTAAGTAGCCTGTACTTTGCGCCTTTTATGTGAGCCAAGGAACCTACTACATAATGTCAGCGCCATAAACTCTGACTCGAGACTAGAGTTAGGGGATGATGTTGTTCTAGGACTGTTTCATGGAGTCTGACTCGGGGCTAGGGTTAGGGTTAGGGTTTATTATCATCGTTACTTGAGCATTCCTATTCCTCGCCTTGTGATTGTGAGCTCGTCGTTGATTGTAATTGCGAGTAGCTTTGATCAATTGAGAAAGAGCGAGTTGACTAACGCATTCTTAAAACCAGCACAATACTAACTATATGTACACCCACGGGAAAAAAGTGAGGAAACAACGCCTGCACTTAGCACCAACCCCAATGACGAGAAGTGCTTGAACTATAAAATGAAAAAGGTAGTGTATAGTGCGGCCTCTGAAGTATATTTGACGCATTGTACGGCCTCTCTTCAAAAGTCATTGTTGTTGTTTAACTGCGTTTGTGTTCACTCGTTGTTTCGTCACTTTTTTCCTGTGGGTGTAGTTACATGTATACATATAGTTGCAATCATGAAGCAGAGTTCGGGGCACGCGTCTTCTGGTTGGTTCCTTTTTTTTTTGTTTAATTCATTAATTGTATGTCTTCTGGTTGGTGATGATCAATATGGAAGTTTTCATCATTCAAGGTGACTAGTGTAAAGTCATCAACACAGATTTAGATACGAGAAAGAAACGAAAATATTGATATCAGCATACTCCGGCTCTCGTTCCTTTTTTACCGAAAACAGCAATTCCGAGTGATATCTGATGATTCGCTGGATCACCTGCTATTATACCAATCATCCAACAGTCGGTTGCATCAAACCATGAATAACTGCTCATACATGCTCATTCATCTTAATACTCAGGCTAGACTCTACAAACACATTCCTTTCACTCGTATGACGATAAGCTGAGCCGGGTGATAAGATTTGGCCAATATGGCGATATGACGGGTTTTCCCTTTTAGAATCCGGCACATAATTAACACTGCTATAGCAGAGACTCTACATCAACGGAAAAACTTAATCTCGTTCCTTTGACAAGGGTTGTCGGAAAATGAAGCATAATTCTCCTCTTGGGCCCGGTTCTCCATGGATACGTGCATGAATGCTTGGTGGGAGGGGACCGGGATAATACCACCACTATATTGGGGAAGAAATTCCCGTGTTTATCTTCCTGGGAAACGGTTCGGTCCGGTAAAGCCTTTCAATTGTGTTTGCTAACGCTCGGTGGCGAATATAATGGTCTGAGTACGCGCTGTCGGGTCTGTGGTGCGTATGTAGAACAGAATAGCAAGATCATCAAGGAACTGCAGAAATCGGATGTGAATGTATGTGCTAAGAAATACTTTGAGCAAGCAGCTCGCCTTCTCGTAGTCTGCTTAATGATATATCGATAGGAAGATGACTTTGAATATTTAAGGCACTCTAAAGACCTTGGCAGTGTGGGATTCTAGAATATCTCAATATTTGGAATTATGGGTATGTAGTTAATTATGTACTGGGATAAAAATATACGTTGAGAGATTTGGTATGTTAAGATGCCAGATACAGGCATAGGCCTCATCTCTAGCGATCAAGGCCAATAGGGTAGCGTGTTGTGATTTTTTAGCTTTGGGGTATTATCAACAACGTGCCTGCAGCTGATCAAATAAGATAAGATCTCTGACTAAGTTGACAGCTGTTGCAAGGGTCCTGTCGGAGCAACAACAACCACTTCCGAAACCCCAGCACTCTCAACCCACGCATACAGTCCCTTAAATTACAAGGATTAAGCCTCAAACTGAAAGGTTTTCGTCGCTCCGTTATACAGGATTAATATCCGCTTCATTAACATCAGACGCGCTTCCATTGAATATCCAGTGGGGCTTTGACGGTACGTGCTGTAGGTATACAGCTCATATGATGGAGCGCAGCTGACCCGCTACCTAGAAGCCAATGTCCACTATATTCGTATCTAACTTGTATGCTTTGGTTATGCGCTCAACGGGCAACATTCTTGTCGAGGCGAAGCTGGAGTTGAGCTCTGAATTACTCTTCTCACGATTGCTTCTTCAATGGCGCCATTGATCCTTTACGCCGCGCGAATTTTTTTTTTTGGAGTAAGAAGCAATCTATAGTGGCATGTAATATATGCTTAGGGGATGATGCGAGAAAGGGCACGGAAGGAGTTTGCGGGGAAGTGACGGGCGACAGATGCGACGGATCCACGGGCCGTGCAGATGTCAAGCATCCAAGATCGGCCTGATTGGGTGTTGCCTACCATTCTCCACAGCTACCTGAGTCCCTGACCCCGCAGTCTGGGCCTAAAGGAGAATATCTATTCATCTATACTCGGAGGCGTCTCTCCACAATCTCTGCCATGCAAAGAGGGTGGGGTGGATGGGTGGTCGCAGTTGCATACAATTCCAGGGAATCATATCTGGTACCTGCGGCTAGCTTGCAGCCCCCGGCCCGGATAATCAACTTAAACGTTCATTGGGTTATTCTTCCGGCGCCTCAGGAGAAAAATTAATATCAGCAGAGAAGCGTTGCACTGAATATGTGCATGCATACGGAGATCTTCCTCATCTCCCGGTTCCTTGAATCTTAACGTCAATTTGGGTTTTCTTCAATAATTTAGTATTACCCAGAACCCTGCTAACAAAGTACACACGTACTAGTACTGCATTTTAACAAACCTCGTCTATGGCCATATCAGATGCGGATTTCGGATAATCACCCCGCCCCCCCTTGCTGTCACGATGTGCCTTCCACCAAGTCATACGAGAGTTATACAACTAATGAGGGAAGAATGCTACGCTTCTCCGGCCTGCAAAGCCGATGCACGGCAATCTAAGCCTTTGTCTTTGTTCTTTAATGTTCAATATTGGAGGATGGACTGGCATGGATTGCACACAAGCTCTCGTCAGAAGAGACGTATTCAGAGCAAGGGGAAAGTATATAAGACCTTGATCCCATCCCCGAACGAAACCCTTTCTTCACCACTACCGGCAGCATCTCCAACAACAGTTCAATCAGACTGTACCAGACATTCATTAGGCACTTTACATTTTCATCCCCTCGAAACCTTTCACAATGAAGGGATCAATCATCGCAGGAGCCTTATTGGCAGCTCCTTTTGTCGCCGCTCAGCAGGCTCTCTACGCACAGTGTGGTGGTGTTACATACACTGGTTCCACTACTTGTGTTTCTGGATCCTACTGCAGCAAGATCAATGACTGTAAGTTTTTTGCGCCGATATACTTCTCTCTGGTGAGCTTGAGTATTTACACGCAGTGTCTTAGACTACTACCAATGTCTTCCCGGTACTGCTTCTAGCACCGCCGCCGCCGGTACTACCGTTGCCACTGCTACTGCGACTGGTACTGCGACTGGTACCGCAGTTGTTACTAGTGCTACTGCCGTTGTTACTGCCAGTGGAAACCCCTTCGCTGGCAAGACCCAGTGGGCCAACCCCTACTACGCCTCTGAGGTATCAAGCATCGCCATTCCCTCGTTGGTTGCTGCTGGAAAGACTGCCCTGGCCACCAAGGCCGCAGCTGCCGCCAAGGTGCCTTCTTTCACTTGGCTGTGAGTACCTCCAACCATGTACTCTTTATGCCCTAGTAATAACAAACTCTAATCTTATCTGTCCAAAAAGTGATACCGCAGCCAAGGTCCCTAGCATGAGGACTTACCTTACTTCCATCAAGGCTGCCGGTGTTGGCAACTACATCGTCCCCTTCGTTGTCTACGATTTGCCTGACCGTGATTGTGCTGCTCTGGCTTCAAACGGAGAGTACTCCATTGCCAATGGAGGTGCTGCCAACTACAAGGCCTACATTGATGCCATCCGTGCCATCATCCTCGACTTCCCAGATATCCCACTCGTATTGATCATTGAGCCCGATTCACTTGCCAACCTGATTACCAACCTCAGTGTTTCAAAGTGTGCCGGCGCCGAATCAACGTACAAGGAGTTGACCGTCTACGCCGTCAAGCAACTCGCTCTCCCCAACGTTACTATGTATCTTGATGGAGGACACGGAGGATGGCTCGGATGGCCCGCTAACCTTGCCCCTGCTGCTGTTATGTACGCCCAGATCTACAAAGACGCCGGTTCCCCAAGCCAGCTTCGTGGTCTTGCAACCAACGTTGCCAACTACAATGGATGGTCCCTTGCAACATGCCCGTCATACACCTCCCCCAACGTTAACTGCGACGAGAAGAAATACATTAACGCCATGGCACCCGCTCTCGCCTCAAACGGGTGGTCCAACGCACACTTCGTCGTCGACCAAGGCCGTTCTGGAATGCAGCCCACTGGTCAGATTGCCCAGGGTGATTGGTGTAACCAGATCGGAACTGGTTTCGGTATCCGCCCTGATACTGCTGTTACTGATTCCCTTCTTGATGCCTTCGTCTGGGTTAAGCGTAAGGACTCCTCGCCCTATGAAGATATAAATGATATCTGCTAATATTTCTTTTAATATAGCCGGTGGTGAGTCTGACGGAACTTCCGACACTAGCGCTGTCCGCTACGACGCTCATTGCGGTCTCGCTGATGCTCTTAAGCCCGCTCCTGAGGCCGGTACCTGGTTCCAGGCCTACTTCGAGCAGCTCTTGACCAACGCCAACCCTGCTTTCTAAACGACCAGCCTATAACAGTCTCCCGGGGCTCCTTTTGATGCCTGGTTTTCTGGTGTGACATTAGATGTATATATAGAATTGGCTGTTCATGTTTTTGCGGTGCTGTGGTAGTGTGGTGGGTGCGTTTTTTAAGGAGGAAAAAAAATGTTTCTTTGTGCTTATGAAGAAAATGGAGCTACTCTCTAGTCTCTTTTCATGTCATGTATTGGAGTCGCCTTGATGGGGGCCTCAGTTCGCCGTTCGTAATTGAGATTTCTATGCCGGTCTTTCCATTACCAATAACGATGTCTCATAGGAACACACGAAAAATAGTAGGCATGACCCTAATCTTCCAAGATTTCAACCTCGATTTCTCGGTCCATGAGTGATACTTGATGAATAAGATAGATTACCAGATGGATAGCGATCGAATGCAACGTTAGCAACAAAAATAGGTGATTTTCGGAAATAGACTGCATATACATATGTACATACACGGATGTACACAGAGGTAGCCAGGTGGTCGAATTAATCAATCAAGCCCGAATCACAGCTAAACCAGTCAATAGTGCGTTAAGGGAGCAGAATCGACATCCATGAAACTTGACTCTGGGTCTATTGTTCCACGTAGTGGGTGTCAGCAGCTAGTCGACGGCTCAGTGCGCAAAAAAAGGCTTCATAAGAATCGAGCTCTGTTGTCACTGAAGTTCGAGTACGTACCAAGTTCTCACTATGTTCGTATCTCATCCTACCTCAATCCGAGTGAAGGCATGTCCTAGAAGTAGCTGTAGGCTCCTTCATTTAAGCAGCTAGCTATGTGGCCAAGTTCCACTTTATTCGCTTGTCATGGCCCATCGATGCATGCATATGCGGTATCGTCAAAGGCAAACTCAGGGTTACACAAGCAAAAACCTAATCTGCACGGCCAAAATAGCACTCATATCGACCAATGACAAGTTCTCTCTCTGTCTCACATTTCAACAACGTTACACTTTTCCGCTTCCAGAATCATCACTTTCTCTTTGGGAAAGGGGTAGCCGTGTTTTCAAGCTATCAGGTCGTGTTGAGAATGTGGCGTTTCTATTAATATGTGCCAAAGGTCACACATTTACCTGTAATTCTCACGAGGACGTTTGTCCACCAGATTATATGTTCAGCCAATTTTCGAGATGTGCGGTTGATTGTATTAAATACAATGATCATGATCTCATAGGTTATTGTGAGGGAGGCTCCGGTGGTTGGGATTCCGATACTGCATTCGTGAGATAATACGGGAGGAACCCACAGTTCGGGATCGAGAGATACAAACCACAAACACAAGGTCCCATAGGTACATGGTACATATATAGGTGCATGTGTACTATAATTCAAAGATGGGTAGGGTATCTAGTCGCGTTTCCAGGCTTTTTCCTGGACTGAAATAATGGACACGAGATCGAGACTTCTATGTATATGTGGTTATCTTAGTATCCAGTAGAATATAATCTTAGTAGCACATAGTACCTGTTTTGACAGAGTAGGAGTGAAGATAAATTGGATACGTTCCCCCACATTACTTCTTAATATCTCTAGTACGCTCATAACAGCCCCAACGTCCTCATTCTCCCGTAGCGATATATCGAATTTCACCCCCCATAGCTTCAATGCATTTGCGATGTTATATTCCACAGCATACATCACTTCTCTCCTCCTCCTCCTACCGACCGCAGTTCTTTCACTCCCAACCGACTCCAACACTCTTGCAGCCCGGCAAAGTACTGAACTAGCTCGCGGTTCAAGCGGTAATAATTGCCGTCCTAGAGGGAATCCTCAACAGCTAACTCTCACGGTATTGCGCCTTTTCTCTCTCAAAGCTCCTTCCTTTCTCAAGCTCCTTACTTAATGAAATAACAAAACACTAGTTCGAGGATATCCCCACCGAACCCAGCATTGATTTCTATCAACTCGGGAACCCCAATAACGTACCATACGAATATAACGGCTTCCAATTCCAGCAGAAGGATCAATGGTATATTATGCGCTGCAATAACTTTAAGAATAACACTCCCCTGCAGAACTACTTCAAATCAGTAAGCACTTCTGCATTGTTCTTTGGATTGCTACACTTTCTAACAACATCGTGTAGTGTGGTGGTTCAGGTCAGGCGCTTTGGACAGCTGGAACAACCTCCGTGCTTCATACAACGCCGCCCAAGGTGTTCGACGTCGATTCCTTCTCCATCACCGTAATTGCATTCGGAGATATAGATATCAAGATTAAAATAACCGGGAAGACTTCTTCCGGAGCCGCAAGGGGCCCCTATGAATTGAAGATGAAAGGAGACATGAGGACCCAGGTTAAGGGTTTGGGAGGGAAGGGATTTTGGTCATTGAAAGAGTTCCAATTGCAGGCGTTTAAGATGGATGGGAGTAGTTTGGGGTACGTGATCGATGATTTTAAGTGCAAAACGTACGAATGTAGTTATTAGTTGATGAATGGGCATAGTGCTGCAGTGCCGCAAAGGTTGGGAGATGTGCGTCGATGAGCGGGTTTATTTAGTATTGCCTCTAGGTCGCTCCTTGATATCTATTTCGTTTGTCTCGCTATTGTTTAGTATCTATTTACCAGTATCGATATATAGTATTATGATCAGTTCAAAATTTATATAAACTAGAAAACCTACAAATGGATACGCGCATTTCTGAAGTGATACTGGATGACTTCCCGTAGTCGTTCTGAATCTAGTCAGGAGATAGTTCCAGAGTTTGAAAGATGGTTTTCTAACCCGTAAGCGAACCATTGGTCTCATTTTCCAGCAGGGTGATACCTCCAGCTTAAGCTTACAGGTGTATCGACGCTGGGAATGCATGGAGCAGAGAGGTATGGGAAACTATTTAGAGAAATGGAGCGGAAAGATATCATAATTAGGCCTGCCTATGCGCTTGCTGGAACGTCACTTATGTTTAAAGAAATAGTTTTGAAGCCTTCAGACCATCTGGGGAGGTGGGGTGGGGGCCTCCCCAGATTATATATTCCTATAAGATCTGGAGAGTGAAGTTGTCGTTCATGATCAGATCGCCATCTGAATACATTCTGACCGGTCTAGATCCACTCAGAATGACTACGGGAAGTCATCCATTCTTTCGAATCATGGCCCTTTATTTAAACATTTGCTAGTAAAAATTAAATTCGGATCCAGAGCTCACTAAATAAAATACTGCATGTAGTGTTCATATTGTGTAGCCTGGTTCAGTTCGAATAGTGAAATGACTCATCTAGAGGGGATGTTCGATCCGTTACTTTTAGATTCGAGTGCTGTTGCTCTAGATCATATTTGATATATAGAATTTATCACTCGAGGAAAGACTATTCCCGTCAAATTGAGGCTTTTCAAGGCCTCCCTCTGAGTTTTCCTAATATAATTGTAGTAACTTTCCCGTTATATTTGTATTGAATGAGTGAATATTAATTGATACGATGGTGCTGTACATGTTACATTTGAATCACTTACTACAATTGTATAAGTAAATCTAAAACCTGTTATTTTCAAGGTCAAAGGGCCCTCGTGCCATGGTTTTTGTGAAAAGGTTACAAGTACCTGGCCGGAAAGAGAGATAGCATCGTGAAATATACGTATAGAGCTACCAAGGCAGATGGAAATACTTAGTAACTATCTCTAGAGGTTCAGCGTCAGATTCAACTTCAACTTATGGCCGCCAGGTCATAGGAATACGTAACTTGTCGACAGCTACATGAATAAAGAATAGAGAAAGAGGTCTGGGTATAGGGCTAGGTATCGCGATAAAAAAACCTTCCCATGGCACCTCGGTTAGTCTTTGTCAATAAAATTCATGATACCCGAGATCTTAGATAATATAACAATAATAGTAACGTTTGTGATATGGAGTAGCTTTCCTAGTTTTAAATGCGAACCAGCATAGATTCTCTTGCGACTGTGAGACTGCCTGTAGACACGGCATGAAAGAGCCGTACCACACGCCTCCGACTCTGTGGTTTGTATCTTGTCACAGTTCCCGCATATCTCACACCAGTGAGATTTTTCTTCTTTGTGCATTTCAAAAACATTTGGTTCATGATACCAATATTTTGATTGAGACGCCACGCCCGGTTAGCTCAGTGGTAGAGCGTGTGGCTTTTACGTGATTTAATCATGCATTGGCGCTACCTCAATGTCGCGGGTTCGACCCCCGCATCGGGCTTTAGTAAAATCTTTTTGTCTTTTGCTCTGAGCAAAACTATCAAAGTTTTAAAAATAAGAAGGAAAGATATAAAAACCTGCTTCTTTCTTTGATGCAGCTACTGCCATTTCAATTGGAGAGTACTGGTCTTTCTAATAAGTGAGGGCCGAATTACTTGTATTCTTAAACTTCGATCTGTAGCATCTAACTCCGTAGGAAGTACATGTGTTCTGTTCGTGTTTGGAGTCGTTCTTAATATACTAGTAAATAAAGTACATATTTGAATATCAACTGATCAGCTCGTTCGGTACTATTTCAGATTAATTGATCCCTCAGGGATTAGCATATACTTGAAACTGCTCATTGCTTTGTAGCCTAAACCTAGAGTTGGGTATACTAACTTCTGTAGAACCAACCTTGGGGGTTGGTAGACCTTTTCGCAGGTTTCAAGACTGATCATTTTATTGTAGGAGTAACCTAAAGGAGTAACCTAATAATCATAGTATTACCATACTAGGGTTAGGGTTTAATGGCATGTGAGCTCACATTGGCCATCGCGATGCGGGGAATATTGGCAGTATACGTCAATATCATACTTCAGAATTCGATCCCAATATATGGCTTCCTCCAAAGATTTCAGCATCGCCTCTGCTAGGGATAAGTTTCCTCATGTTGACCGCGCAAGGAAAGGCTTGCCGAGCCAGATTGATAATACTGGTGATATTGTGCTCGACAATGCCAGCGGAACTCAGATGCTGGGTTCGGTAATCGAAGCGTTCGTCTAATACTAGCTACTATGTATTTTGATCTGAGCATATAATGACTGTCGAATAGAATCTCGACATACTACACGAACCCTACCAACACCCCGCTTAAGGATAGCACTTACCTTAAAAATGCCCTCTCCGCGTCCCAACGCTTCATCAACGCTTCATCCGCCGACGAAATCGGTCATTTGCTCCTCATATTCCTCCCTCAGGCAAGGCTGGGCTGATTGATATATACCGCTTATAGCAATCGGCACCTCTACAGCACAACTCCTCCACAACTTATCAACGAGCTTCTTGTTTCCTCCGAAGAGTGAGATCATTGTCACGCAGATTAACCATGAGTCCAACATCAGCCCATGGCTGCGGATGGCGGAAAGGCAAGATCTGATCGTGAAGTGGTGGACGGCGAAGGGGCCGGCCATGAGACTAGAGATTGATGATCTATTAGAATTGATCTCAGAGAAGACATGTTTGGTGGCGTTGACGCACGCGTGTGGCGTACTTGGGAATATTGAGGATGTAGAAGTTGCTGCGGAAGTCGTTCATAGGATGGTGCCCGAGGCAGTAGTGTGCGTCGATGGCGTAGAGTTTGCGCCACACAGGAGAGTGGACGTGAGTGCACTGGGTGTGGACATTTATGTCTGGTCTTGGAATAATGTAGGTACCCAGAAGTCTCCCTCTCCTCCCCATATCCGGCCCCCCATTTCCCAACTCCGACTCCAGTACTTTGCTCGAAAGATTAATAGATATGGTACAGGTATTTGGGCCCCATCTATCCTGCATCTGGATCGAAAAGTCACTAAAAGACGACCATGACCTCCTCGAACCCTTCAGTTACTTCTTTGATCATCCTCTCACCTCACTTCAAGTCAAGCTCGGCCTCTATGCCGCTAACCCCGCCCTCACATCTTCCATCCCACCAATTGTAGATTATTTTAACCTCGATCCCGTCTCCTCCTGGACCGAAATCATGGGGCACGAAGCTGTGCTACAAAAGATACTAATAGATTATCTTAACTCACGCAGTGATGTTCGAATCCATGGGGAAAATTCGCCGGATCCTGTGCTCCGAGTGGCAATAGTATCGTTCAATATAAATGGATGGATGAGTCAAGACGTGGTTGAGTTCATTACAACAAAAGACCCCAGGCTTGGGGTGGCTTGGGGGCATTTTGATTCTTTCAGATTGGTGGCCAAGCTTTTACATCCCAAAGAGGATGGAGTGGTTAGAGTGAGCATGGTGCATTATAATACAGGTGTGTGATGGTTCTCTGAGGGGTTTGATCTTGATGGACTTTGAAAAACTGAATCTTTCTTGCGTAGTTGAAGAAGTGAAAAGATTAGTGGATGTTTTGAAAGAGATTGAGATCGGAGGAGACCAGGGTTTACTAGCGCATATGGAAAGACTTTCTCTTGTTTCCTTGGACTCTGGAGCAAATACGCCGGTTAGGTCTGAGTAATGGCGGCTAGACAAGGAGGGCTAGACAGGAATAGATTTAGAACTATTCGGGGGGTAGTACTAGAGCTTGTTATAGGTCATGAAGCCTCTTATATCTTGCTTTGTTGTTGCTGTTATATTTGAAACGATTTTTATATGATTTATCTTCAAAATCCATTTCTTATAATTCGGATTTTTCCTCTAGACTCGCGGCCCGGTTACATATATAATTGCTTTTTATGTTTGCAGTTATCTTCTTGATGCATTAAACAGAAATGCTGTCTTCTTTGTCTCTTCATTGCTAATAACTCTCCATATATCAAGAAGCGAGGCAATAAAACGCATAGCTAGTAAGAGCTGAGGTTTGGAGGCACATATAACGAGGCGGGGTTACAAGATTAGCATTAACATCGCTCTTGCGGCATCTACCCACGAGCGGGAGCGGGTAGCTGTTCATTGAGGTCTTTAGCGTACGTTCCTCGATCGAGATATTCAGCTGGGGATTATTATTATAGGTATTAGTGAACGAATAAAGAGTAAAAACGAAGTGCAAAGGCCCGCAAATATAATTGGGATATCTCTGGGATAGAGGGTCTACTTTGAAATCCCTCTTGGGATGATCATGTTTACCATATTAATACTATGCATAATTACTAAACCTCGAGGTTTATCATGGTCATCAAGCTTGATTATGAGGAAGAAGCACTGTCTGCAGCATATGTGACCTTGCCATCGTGATCAATCATTTACCTTGTGCTAACTATAAGCGCAAAGACCTCGGGGCGAAGCAGTGAGATATCTCGCCGGCCTCGCAGAAACTATTGCTATATTCTACGCGTTATAGGGAATTACATACAAGTATGTATATATATAGCTTGATCGAGCTTGATCAATTGATTCTATTAATTAGTAAATGTCAGTACTATATTCTTGTGATACATGTGAACTAGGCGCAGGCTATTATAAGATCTTTGCCAAGAATTAGTACTGCACCTAACTCATGATCATTAAAAGAGCCCTTGGCTAATACACTAATGATGATTATATGATATCAGCTGAAGCCTTCGATGTCTTCAAACGTATACTGATAGCCATATTCTTCAGTATTTAGTTGAAGTTGATCCGCAGAGGGTTAGTATACCTGCTGTACTGCTTCACAGTTGCATGCTGAAAACACTGATTGATTAATGGGTTAAGTACTGAAATGCTGGCGCATTTATAATATGTACTCAAATATTTAGTATGCGCCTGCACTATAAACAATATATACCGGCGACGTCCACTGTCCGTCGAAAAAAAATAACTCTTTTGCTCCAGCATTCACGGATTTGGCTGTCTAATAATTTATTGGCTCCAACTTGGATGAGATTTCTAGCTTTTCATTGGGTTGGACATACATATGCACGGGGAATAGACAATCAATAACTACCGAATCATATGCCGGAGGTCTAATAACGCGGCGGGTTCTCAGTACCTCAATCAGAGCATAACAGATCATCGTTGATATTTCATTTATATCTCTGGTGAGATATATAGGCATCATAAGCGTTGTAGGAGGAGCTCTAGTCCTGCATACATACCCTTCGTAATTGAACTGCTAACATGAGATTTAAACCAGTTGCGCCGCTCAACCACGCTATATACCCTTGTTATGTCACCATGACAGAGACTCTATATATTAGCGTAATATAGTTTTCGGAACAACGCCCCTCATGATCAGGCTTCGGCGTCCTTTCCGGCCGGGGTTGGATGTAGGGTTGAATTTATGCGGGTATAACCATCCCCGCTGGTTCCCCCGAAACCCCCGAAGCCAAGAGCCTCCATTCTTCTACTTCAATTTTTACTAATCGTCAAAACATTGGAATATCTCCGGCGCGGGTACTTTCGTGCCGTCTTTTACATCAGGGCGTATTATCCGGGGCATTCCATACTCCCTTGTTCTAGGGGTAAGTTTATTTTAGAGAGTTAACCGGGATAAACAGTGAACGGCGCTCTAGGGCCGTTGTCCGAATCCAGGAACTATGCAATCTGTATTAGATAATTGTCTTCAGATAGAGTATTGATGGAAGATGTCTCCACCATTACTGGGTCGGAATATAGCGTTCACCCTGAATCAATTTACACGCGCTTCCGAGTACCGAGAGTCGAGGAAGTGAAAGGGGTTTCTCCAATTAATCCGCAAGGTTAGTTAGCCACCATTCGAATATTCAGTAGAGGAATGGATCAACCATAAACCGTGTCACGATATTGTATATAAAATAGCACTTCAGCTGTCCTGTTCCCCCACTACTCGCCTGGTTGATCACCAGATTATCACTCTCTTAATCTTATCAAAATGTACGGCGGAATCACTGTGCTTGTTCCTGTCTTTTCTGCAGTAGCGACACTGCTCGCATCAGCCCCTGGTGTAAACGCTGCCCCTGCGTCACAGTGTTATAACTGGAAGAACGTCAGAATCGGTGGAGGCGGAGGTTTTGTTCCTAGCATTGTATTTAATCCAGGAGAGAAGGGGGTGGCATATGCCCGTACAGATATTGGCGGAGCTTACAAGCTCAACTCTGATGATACGTGGACACCTTTGACGGATTTTGCCACGGGTACAGATTGGTAAGATATCAAGTTCAAGTTTCCCGTTTAAGCTTTTGACTAGGGTTGGGTTTTAACATTGAATTTAAACTTTAGGAATAAATGGTACGTTGACGGTTTGGCGACTGATCCTGTGGATACCAGTCGTGTCTACTTGTTGACAGGAGCATATACCAATTCATGGTATGTATATCCCCATTTCCTAAATGTACACAAATTCTTCCCGGAAACTTATTTAGTCATCATCTAGGGATCCTAATAATGGTGCAATTCTTGCATCGAATGATTATGGTGCAACTTTCACAACCTCTACGTTGCCGTTCAAGGTTGGAGGCAATATGCCTGGGCGAGGCATGGGAGAAAGACTTGCCGTCGACCCTAACAATGGCAGTATTCTTTTCATGGGTGCCAGGAGCGGTAACGGTCTTTACAAGAGTACCGATTACGGGAGTACTTGGACTAAAGTCACCTCGTTCCCTAACCCAGGTAGGCAGACCTGCAGTTATAAGCTTCACGTTTGGACAGATCCATATCTAACTGGTCTTTTATAGGGACTTTCATTCCTGATCCCACTGACACTGATGGATTGAATGGCGACATCATCGGTATCTCATTTGTCACTTTCGACTCGACAAGCGGTAGTCTTGGCACTGCCACTCCTAGAATCTTTATTGGGGTTGCCGAGAAGGACTCGGAATCAGTCTTCATCTCGAATGACGGTGGAAGCACTTGTATGAATCAATTTCAATTTTTCAAAGATAAGGTTTAAAGGCTTACACTGTTTTATGAACTAGGGACTGCCGTTGCTGGTCAACCTACTGGTTATTTGCCACACAAGGGTGTTCTTTCACCCAAGGAGAATGTTCTCTATTTGACATACACAGACGGTGCTGGTCCATATGATGGTACTGCTGGATATGTTTACAAATACAACATCAGTGCTGAATCATGGACCAATATTTCCCCAGAAAACAGCACCTTTGGGTATGGAGGTATTGATATCGATCTACAAAATCCCGGTACAGTGATGGTTGCGGCATTGAACGAATGGTAGTTCTCGGATGTGTCCTCTTTTCTCTCACAAACCGCTAACTTTCCAAAAGGTGGCCCGACGCGAACATGTGGAGATCTACTGACTCCGGCGCTACCTGGTCCCCCATATGGGACTGGTCATACCCAGTTCTCAACAGGTACTTTGGATATGATATCTCGTCAGCTCCTTGGCTTCAGGACCCCAACTCTGGTGAAGACTACCGGAAACTGGTTGGATGGATGATTGAGGGTTTGTCGATTGATCCTTTTGACTCCAACCATTTTCTATACGGTACAGGAGCCACGGTGTACGGAAGCAAGAACCTACTTGGCTGGGATACAGCCCATAACTTCACCCTTCAGTCACTTGCTACTGGCATTGAGGAGACATCAATTCAAGGCCTTGTGGCACCACCAACTGGACCAAAACTTATCTCTGCTGTTGGAGATATCACTGGATTTGTCCACAACGATCTTGATGTTTCCCCTACTATTGGCTTCAAGAATCCATACTGGGCTACGAGCTTGGACTTGGATTATGCGGGGAACAAGCCGTACAGCATCGTTCGTGTTGGCAGTGATGGATCCGGCGAAACAAAGCAAATTGCGGTTTCTTCTGATTATGGTGTAACCTGGACTGAGCATGAAGGTGCCCCAGACTACACCAATGGTGGGAAAGTCGCACTCTCTGCAGGTGGAAACACCGTCTTGTGGAGAACTGGATCTGGAAATGTCCTTGTATCAACCGGCGCCAACACTACCTTTAGCGACGTTTCCTCCCTTCCATCATCCTCCGTAATTGCTGCGGACAAGAAGAACGACACAATTTTCTATGGGGCTTCTGGATCAAGCTTCTACATTTCCCGTGACTCCGGTGCAACCTTCACCGTTGCCAGTACCTATACAAGCTCCACATCAAACCCTGTCAAAATTGTGGCCAACCCTCTGACTTCCGGTGATGTCTGGGTTTCTAGCGACATTGGCCTTTTCCACTCGACTGATTTTGGCTCTACTTTCTCTGCTATCTCTACCGTGACGAGAGGGTATCAGTTTGCTCTTGGCGCTCCAGCTACCACTAATGGATACCCAGCTATCTACCTTGTCGGTACTGTTGATGGATCGGTTGGTGTTTTCAGAAGTGATGATACCGGTGCCACTTGGTACAAGATTAATGATGATGCTCATGGATTTGGATCACCAGATGGTGTACCTGTTGCTGCGGATCAGAATACTTATGGAAGGTTAGTCTCACCCTTCTACACCCAAAAATTTGAATTTATACTAATAATAGAATTAATTCTAGGGTATATTTGGGTACTAATGGGAGGGGTATCTTCTACGGTGATGTCTCCTGCACAGTCTAATTCCAGTATATGTCTCCTCTTTCTTTTTTTTAAAGCGCTTGCGCTTTTTTGTATTTTAAAAATTCCCTCTATCTAGGTTGATACATATATATAGTTATACTTTGACTGAAAATATTTAGAAATGTTCTCAATTTAGCCGTTAATAGCTATATCTAGTAGTTGGCCTCAATTAAAATAAAAAAAAATGGAGAATTCCCGCATTAGGTAGACTGGTAATACGGCAAGAAGCTCCTTCGGGATATTACAAGTAGTGCAAAATGCCTACTAACATACTGCGTTAGTAACTACCCTGACGACTCTACTCGACACAAATTCACTAAAGCACTCGCCAAAAGATTACATCGTACATGGAACCGGAAAATTTCCTAGAGTATAAATTATTGACTTATTGAAACTTGCACGATTAAACGTAAAAATATGAAACCAACAAGTACTATAGTACATCTGGTCGTCGATATTAAAACTATGATTCATGATCAACAAGAGACTTAAGACGAAATATAAGGAGATCTTGAGATGGAAGACTGGTGTAAACCAAGTGGTATGTTGTGAAGTATGATATATTTTTGTTGACATGTGCGTCGATCATGCATGATTCATATTGACAATCTACTTCGAGACTATGGTAAAGTATTGTAGCTCAAAATCCGACAGTAAGGGTATCTTATTTATAAATTTAGTTGGCGGTGGTTAGTTGAATCCCAACGCCTAGATTGTCGGTTTGTTTTCGTCTAAGAATTAAAATAAGCCGGTTGGAAGGACTGTGTAATTAATATCCTAGCCTATTCTGTCAACACAACCATAAATTCGGAGTTTTAAGATACCAAGATCGACCAGCGTCTTACAGACTATGAGCTTTCTCAAGCACCATATTAAGGGGGTTCGATTGTCGCACAGCTCTTTATTTATTTTGTTTTAATTTCCTCCGGCATTGACTTCCAATTTCGGGCGATCTAGCTGGAAACAAGGCCTAGGTGGGATCTATGCTTTATGTGAACGTCTCACCACTTGATTACGAAGATACTCTATAACCTAAATGCGATAATAGCACAGAACGTGACTATAATAGTTTATGAAGTATAGATCTACGACCTTCTCTGCTATTTTACGTATCATACGGATGGAAAGAATATATAGCGCTTATTCTCATATGTAGCTCCCCATTGATATCTTCAGGATATACGTAGCGATGTACGTAGCTTTCCACACTTTTTTCATGGATCGTAAACTATAGAATAGATGCATAATATGTAGTCAGTTTGAAATTTGAGACCGCTCACGTGGACGAGGCAAAGATTTACTTTTATGGTGCTGCCATCGGCATTACCAGATCAGCAGCTACATAGTAATGTACTTAACACCCACCCCATACCCATATTAATACTACAATTCCATAATTAGTACATACGCGCTCACAGAGTCCACAATTTAGTAACTAAAATATATACTTAAACAACCCGCTATGACAAATCTAAACATACATGTAATTGTGTGTAGCTACATCATTTAATAGAAAAAATGGAATCGAGACCAAGAATATTTCAGCTTAGTTCGATTCAAGTTTAGATTTAGGTTTTGACATCATATTTGATTGCATTGTAACTACCAATCAACTAGTATTATTATGATAGTAAGTCCTAAAGCTTACAATCTATAGATCTGAGTTTTTTTCTGAAAAACAATGAATTTGGGATTAGAAACACTTGTGCTTTTCCCCGGGGGAGGGCTTGCATGGGAAACCTGCTTGTGCGATACGGCTAGATTCCTAGGACTGTACTAGCTTTAATTCGGATTCATATGGCACTAAATACATGTGTAGATACATCATGTACATACATGTATACAGTTTTAATTATTATGCTATACCTCTGTCACACACAACTAAGCTAGCACTTGGTACCACGTACCACCAGAGCAATTGATTGATCATCAATCAGCGCATTAAGTAATTGAGGCTCTAATTCACAAAATAATTGTAAATTAGAGCTACCTGCCTCAAATTAATTGGGTCAACTCGTGTGTAATTGATTGAGAAAGTTCACGTAGGACAATATATACGGTGTATATCAAGTTAGATGATCATGATTGTACTATGCAGGCATGCGTATATGCAGGTCCCCGATCTTAAAGTACTAGCTCTTGTGGTTTTGTACGAGTATTGCGTGCATCTTATCTATCTCGATCTCCATGAATTAGTAGGCATTAATTGTGTGTCTAAACGTTTAAACGTAAAGTTTTCTAGATCTTGTTATCCTTAATGAAGACAGCTACGCGCGTACGAGGAGTCGTCCTGGTCTCCCAGAGAGCTAGAGTAAGATAGTTGACCTAGGCCTAGCACGGCTTCTCCTGTTATAATTACATGTACATGTAGTGATACATGTACATAGCGTTAGTACTAGTGCTCGATCATAGATCTAAATAAATTAAGCTGGGCACGTGCATATATATAATGTAGATTTCATGAGATTGTGGCCACGGGCTTGTAGATCTAGATCACCCTCCACCTCATATGAACTAATTGAGCTAGGTTCGTTTCCTTTCTTGATCTTTATAGCTTGCCCCGCTGAATATTAACTAACTCTTTCCGTAAAGATTTTGTTGTATGTTCATGAATTATCTCATGATTTCAGAAATTCAGGGGAAATTGGTTGGTGGTAGACATGGAAGGCCGGAGATCATACATCTCTGATTGGTGGGAGATGTTCTTTCACGGGAAACTACTTAAACGATCAAAAGAAGGCAGGCTTTACCAACCAGCGCTCTCGATTTTTGAAACTTTTGTTTGACCTTTAGCTTTTCTATAGATTTAGCCGGTCTGTTATAGGAGGTAGGAGATGATACATATGTAGTCAGCTTAATCATGTGAAAGTTTTACGATATCGCTAACGTAATTAACTACCGGCGTTCAGAATCTAGAACTGTGTCTTATATCGCGCCGACCACAATCGAGATGTTTTATTCTACAGGGGGTGTTGTCTCCATGCGACGAAAGCTTTATATATGAAATTAAAGCCTAAATTCTAACAGCTTCCAGAACAGCACGCCTCATGTGAGACAAACATTGTGGTGAGTACCCGGCTAGATGTTATTGACTATCTAATTATATTATAAATTCAGTAGGATAATGTCTAAATCAAGCGTTGTAATATAAGAAGAAAGAATTGATGTGGCACTACACGTATATATGAACTTAGGCCTAGGCTGTCATGAATTAATGACATGTATCTATGTGAAGATTTTAACTTGAGTAGCTATCGGAGTATGTTCCTTCATTTCATGAGAATTGGACATGAATTGTCATTTATCTATATGATTAACTTACTTTTACTAGTGATGGTCACGAGAATGCGAGTTCCTCTACATTTTACTATTTCCTTTCATATGATCATAATAATATTCATGTGCATTACCGTAAACTCTACTAACCATAGGTCCACCTTACTCCGGGAATCTGCTTTCAAATTTTAAAAGTGAGGGCGAATACAGCTGCTTCTATTCTACGGATTTATCTTTGGCAATATATAACGGTCTAGAAAACTAAGTTTAGCGATTCTGCCAGGCTCGCAAAATATGGCAAAGCCTGCATGTCGTCAACTTACAATGCTGCACTAAGACATTACGGGCGGAAGCGTATATAGATGTATATATAGATTATGATCAAATGAGCTGTCTAGAGCCGCATAAACTTGGCTGTGATTGACCATCTACATATCCGCTCGTGCTGAGTTTTGTAAATTGCTCTTTTCCGGAAATGTCGTATATACATCACGCTAGGCAGATAATTGTTGAAATAGGTGCCAACATCGTAGAATACTTTCACATAGGAGATTCCTGTACAATATGTTTCATATAAGTATCCCAAATAAATAAAAGTGTTGTCAAGTCTTGTGCAGGTAAATACTTGGTTGGGAATGGATTAGTTACTTCTTTCGTTCAATTAGTAGCGATCAAGAAATTAATCAACAGTCCTAGATATCATTACGATCATGCATTATATAAAAAGAATAAGGTGCAGCGATGGGCGTTAATATCCAGCTATGCAATGTAACACTTGACGCCCAATCGTACATCAGTAATATTTCCCCTGGTCAGCCCGAGGATCAATGAATATGTCAATGATAGGAGCTTGACCTCGCACGGCCAAGCTTTCTCAGATAAAAACTTGCGTAGCTACGCTAGCTGCTTTTTGTCTGAGAGATATGGAAGGATCAATGTGGTCGTAATTAATTTTTTCATATTCCATATGAAAAATGAGATTTTTCTCTGCACATCTTGCATTTGAATTGAAAGCGTTATTTTGCCGGCGGTCGCAAGCCCCTCTCCAAATATCATATTAATAGGCCGATTAAATATGTACTACATGTGCAAAGCAAAAGAGATCGAAACCTCACAGCCTACTTCAAGTGTTGGATCGTATGGTGTCTCAAGATACTATGGTGTAACATGATCAAAACAGGCCTATATCTTTACCGTAAGTGCATCTAACTCGATTTCAATCAATCAAGCAAATTAGTTCCTGTATCATTACAGAACCTTAGCTCTCGGCCAATTGTCCACTTACCTTTATCATTCTCCCATCAGTCTACTCCTAATTAAATATCCAATATTTTCTAATCATATTCATATTTGGTCATGACGATATCGATTATCATCGGCGCTGAACAACAAACGTCTATCACGGGAAGACTCCAAGTTGCAAATCGAATCCTCGATGTCCTAGAAAGTTATCGTCTTCGACATCGTGATGGTACCTCTGACCGTAACGATGAAGGTAGAAAACGGTTTCTCCCGATAGTCATGCGAAAAGTAGAATGCTTCCAACCCATCCGCATGGTTCTTCCTGCATTCCCCTTCAAATCTCCAAATAATGATTCCAAGGTCCTGGGTACCATCCCTGATAAAGGAGAAGAGATTGCCCTTGCCCATTTAGATGGATTGTGTAAAAGTATTGAGGATATCTATAACCCAGGGGCACAAGTCACCATCGCCTCTGATGGAATCGTATACAATGGTAACCCTCAAGAGACCGTTGATAAATTATTTATATCTATGAGACTAACGCTGAGATAGACTTACTCGGGGTTTCTGACCGTGATGTTTGGATATATGGGCAAACACTTCGAAAGATTTCCGAAGGTTCTGGCTTCAGCCACATCCGTTTCGTTCCACTTCGGGATCTGCTCGGACTGGACCTTTCCGAACCAGTTAGCGAGGAGACATATGTAGCTCAAGCCCAGAACTTCCGGGATAAAATGAGCCAACTTTACACTCCGGCGGGATTTGACGTTCGTCAGGAGATCTCGAAGAATGAGGATGCAGCGGCGACGTACAGAGGTTATATCAAGTTTCTCAGCAAAGATTTAGCAAATACAAAGACGTATGAAACTAAAATATCAAAAAGTGCTATCAAAAAGAGGAATGAGGTGGTTGCACGGAAGATGCTGGCTCGTGGAAAGGTAGGCTAGCAGCCACATACCCAACCGAAAAAACTGAAATCTTTCCTAATCGTTTAAACTTTAGGCATTTTCCACTGCTGTACAGACCAATCTTAATGACTATGTTCGTCTTTCAATCCATCCTTCGTCTGGGAGTACCAAATTTTCGATCTCTCTCTTTCCTCACATTAGCCATAATATGACTCCGTGGCATGCTACGACCGTTTATGGGCTCAATGGCTCCGTTACGACAGCTCATCTCGACAGTCTCAAAACATCATCAAGCCACGAACTAGTTTTTAAGGACGGTGCTCCTTGGTATTATCGGGAGAAGTCTGATCTATACCATTGGAGCGATACACGTATATCATTTGAACCTTTGTACCCGACTGGTCTACTCATCACTCCTGTTCCAGGTTTTGACATTCAATCATTCAGTAGTATCGATGCGACCAAGCTCAGATATTTAGCTGAACAAAACTCACCAATTATCCTTCGAGGTTTCACTAAAACGGGAATTCAAGTGGTAATCCATGAGATAGCTGAGGTAGTTCCAATTTCTGAGCGTCATGGATTGGATTTTCAATCTCCGAAGTAAGTTTATACCGAATCTTTAATAATTCTCATATCTATGGCCACTAAAACATGACAACTAGGCTACAAATACTTAGCTCAGATACGCAGAAAACTGATGTATATGGCATTCCCTCCTTCTCATCATCCCGACAACTCTTCGAGCACCTCCCAGAACCCCTAAGCGTCAAAATACTTTCAAAATGCACATTCAGCACTCTTTCAAACCCTTTTGAGAGAACGACTTTGATTACTCCTCATCCCACATTGGGTATTCCTTGCCTGCGTTATCAAACTACTCAACATGGCAGCATCATCTCCAATATATCAAATGGAGATTCGTCAGTCTTTGGGATTATCGATAATCTTATGTACGACCGGCGGGTGCGTTATGATCACATTTGGAAAGATGGAGATATGGTTTTAAACGATCCATCGTCTGCGACATACACATGTAATGATGTATTGTTGGGTAGGGCTGTATTGACTGGGAATGGACAACGTGGGTACAATTATGTGGAGCATGAGTAGTCTGCGGGATTTTAAAAGGCTTTACATTTGAGGGATGTTTTACTACATGTACATGTGTGCATGCACTTCTTGGTTTATTATCGTAGGCGGAGCTTCTACACTCCATTTTATCAACTAATTCTCTTCTATGATCCTTTTGCCGAGAATTCCTTTAAATTAGTATAACGTTTTAAGATTTCCTTGGAATCTTCATAAATTTCCCGATTTGGTTTTAGTAAGCTCATCTAAAGAAAAGATGAGGGAGAAAAGAGGCTGCTCTATTATACATTACTTAGGAATATCCTGTGAACCGAGTTCGTTCTGGCAGATATTGAGACACGAGTATATGTACTTCATACGCTCTCTGTGATTCATGTTTGTCTACCTCACTGTTAAGCATTTTGAGCATTTCTAATCAACTTCACACCCACTCCAGGTTTAGGGACAAGTAAAGATTTCTTCATCAACCCCTTGGCATAACTTAAGAGATTCTACTTGCTTCTTTTACTCCTTGTTATGAAATCCGAATGTGCAACAAGCCAAGCAATACCAAGCCACTAAACCTAATCTAACAATTAAACAACAATCGATCATTGACCACCACACCAGAGGCGACAAGCAAAATCTTGACAGCTTCTAGTCCAACTTCCGCCCACCCGTCTCCGGTCCCACCAACTTCCCATCAACCATCTTCCAGCCAGCACCCAAACGTTTCCATCCCTCCGCCCTCGGGCCATCAACTGCTTTCATCAAAAGCCGATTAATCCAAGCCCGAACCCCCCATTCCTCCGGGAAAGCGGTTAACACGCCCATTTGAAACTCGTGGCGCCAGCACGAATAGATCTCTCTATAGTATTTCCCCAGCCCGATCTTCCCCAACGTGGCCCGGGCAAAGGCCGTTGGCGTGACTAGGAAGGTTCGCCCGTCGAATGGGGAGTAGGACGCGTGGTCAATGGGCGTCATGGCGGTGCGCACGCCCCCGGGGATTATAGAGATGATTTCGATCGATTTGGTGGCTATGGAGTCGGTTCGGAAGATGGGAGCCTGGGAGGCGAGTTGTTCGCGGAGACAGGCATTGAATTTTGTGGTGAAGGCTTTGGAGGCGCTGTATGTGGGCGTTCCGGGGCTTTTGGGGGAGCATGTTAATGGTTTGATCTTTCTTTTTCTTTCTTATTATGGGCGCTGGGGGACATACAGAGTCATGATACTTCCTATGCTGCCTAAGCTCAAGATACAGCTCTTGCGCGCTAGTAATCCTTCCTTCAATACAACTCTTGTCAAACATACTCCGAAGCTCACGTTGACGTGGACGTTTTGGATAATCTCCTCGTCCGTGAGTTCTGAAAGAGCTTTTATAGGCGGTAGACCGCCGACGTTGTTGATCAAGAGTGTGATATTGCATCCTTTGAACTGCCTCAAAAGCTCCGGAAGCTTCAGTTCTTCTGGTGACTTTGAGGCATCTGCGATGAAAGGAAGGAAGCGTTGGTTCGGATACTGGCCTGACAGGCGGTGTATCAATGGCTCAAGCTTTTGAGTTGAGCGCCCATGGATTATCACATTCCACTGAACATTTCATTATTCCGATATGAGTATAAGCTAGCCAGTATCAAACTAAGTCTCTAGACTTGAAGGTTGGCAGCTTCACTCACCCCTCTCGTTGCTAGTTCCTCTACAAGCGCTTTTCCGATGCCATCTGTTGCCCCAGTCACAAGCGCATACGCATCCTTAACTCGATAGTTCTCCTCCGCTGCTGCTCCGTTATGGATCAAGTGTTGATGCACCAGTCTTGGTAGTGACAATAAAGATATAGACGTTTGCAGCGCTACATATAGTATCGTGTGCAGTGCGGCTGCGGAGTATAATAAAGTGCTTGCCATTTGAATTTGTGGTGAAAGTACGAATTGGTAGACGGTAGTATACGTACATACATATATCAATGGGGATACTGAAATGCTGAGAAATGCTGAAGTTGTTGTCAACAGGGGTAAGATGGGAACTAGCTAAATGGGGAAAGGACTAGGACGAGCTTCGCTAGGATTAGGATCAGCATCGGGATCAGGTTAATGATATTGTCCACAAGGCATCGCCGCGAGGCAATCCAGGATACGCAGTCTACCCGTAGACTCATGAGACCCTCGATTTTCGTGGTACGCAGACCCGGCCATGTTCGGAAACGTCCTGAAGGTTGGGAGTACGAGGCGCTCGGGTTCGAGGTGATTAAGGGCCTTTGTTCGCCCCCAGCCGCCGGGGTTTCTTTTACGATGCGCAATCAAATTGTACTACTGTGGTTGAATTTCGCTATAATGGCACGAAGATGTGACAAATCCAGATCTAAATATATCCCAATAGAGCAAGTGAGTGATATTTTGTGGTTCTGTAAATGCAATAATACATACATGTCCCTCTATCCTCTTCTTGTTTTTCCTTGATACCATATTGATTGGATCATCCAAACTTAAAAACACCCCCGATCCTTCTTCAACGCTATGAGGATACGTATACCCGTATCCGGCTTCTTAGGGTGGATTCGGGATCGGGTCTCGGCATCCTTATAAGTAAGCCGATTTATCTTCATAGCCAACCTTAAAGTATGATTCGACGGTATTAAAAAGCTTATGATGAGTAGTTCTCGCATAAAGTACTTTTCCTGCGTATCTCACATAAGCTTTCGACTGATATCAAAATTGATTACACAGCAAGATACCGTCGCCAACCATGCAGCTTATAAACAGTCGGTGTTTGCTTCTAATGCCTTGATTATCGTCTTGCTGGTGTATTCCTACCGAAAGCCAGAGGTAACTGGCTCTTCTCGTATCAGCAGCCTTCTGACTCACTATCGTCCGTCACCATCCGGAGTGCTTGTGCCAATAGATATGCAGCAGCACGTGTGCCGAGACCCGGATCTGATAAGATTAAACCCAAATACTTATCGGAGTGCCGTATGTCTTGAATGATGATATGAGCCAATGCACGATATTTTTCAATACCTAGGTCGTGATTATTATTATACAGTGTATCCAATTGCCGGAAACTGCTTGCTGCAATATGTAGGTACACCGGTGCTTTAAACTGATAAATAATGGTATGCATAGAGTAGGATTTAGTTGGAAGGCTTTGATCAGCACACCCACTACTTCCCTACTCCTTTACCCATTTACCCCGTTCAAGCGCATAAATGTAGCTAGCGATACTTATCCTGTGGTAATCCGCCGGTAACTAGTACCTAAAGTAATACTTTATATCTGCGGCAGGAAACTCCCTTCCAAACTCTACCGGCCGATAAATACTGCACCAACTGTCGGCCGTGATCATAGTTTTTTCCGATTATATAAACTTTAAACTACTTTAAAGGTTCGAGAGCCCGACAATCTCTATTCCGATAAGATTGAAAGATGAGTGGTGAATTTGAAGCCTAAATGGACTAGATAGGGCATGCCCGATGGACACCTGATAGAAGCACGGGCCCAGAAGCAGCAGCGCAGAGCCGTTATCTGTCAATCACGCCGGACAGATCTCTATCTATGGGGAAATCGGTATATTTATACCGCATATATATGTATATGCCACCATCCTATCAATCGCATTCTTTCAATCACATTCTTTCATTGAATATGCCTTTGGTCGATTTCTGGAATGACAATCCAGAGTAGTCTATTTTAAAAAAAATCCTCCGGATACTCCGGGTTCGTTCATCTTCTTGGCTCGACCTTCAATATATTAGGGAAGGAGCCAAGTCGGAAACAATATTGACCGACGACTATGGCGTTTCAATCTCTCCTAGCGGCGAGCAAGAATAGGATACAGCTAGCAGTTAAATTGCGTAGGGCCAAGAAATACCAAGGGAATTCCTGGGAAACAAATCGACTTTCTTGAAAATGGGGCACCCAATCTCTATTTAAGGGATACCTATGTGACCCAACACGTTTGACGCGTTCTCCTGCTTCTAGAACCTCTCCACAGTGCGGGCATCACGGAGCACTGATTGGCGCACACACGGCCAGAGCCGAGGCCTATGGCGCTGGCTAAATCGTTCAACCCCGCTACCGGAAAGGGTAATTCCAGATCTTGGTATTCCGCAAATCCAGGACCCCTCAAATCTTGTGCGGAGTGAAAACCGGGGCAGCCACCTAACCCGCGGGGCCGCCTCATATCATAGCGATCAGCATGCCTACAGTTGTTGAGGTGCAAGCCATCGAAAACGGAAGAATATTTTGCGGCAAGCCCCTCTATGTACTGTACCGTTACTCTCGATCCAGTAATGACAGGTACGGATATGGAAATGTGCCCTTTGCAAAAATGGAGTAAATATGTTAGTAAACCGTATTACAGTCCAGAGTCTCCGATCAGCATCGATGACAACCACAGACTATCACTCGGCAGCGCCAAAGCAACACGTAGTTAGAACGCCACTAGAATAGTTAGCGATTGCCCCCAATCTTCTAATCCCAAATCGTACGCGATTGCCTCTGTTGTCAGTTTGAAAAAAAGATCGAAAAGGCTAACGCATCAACGACATAACTCATGCGTTTCGGTCTCAGTTCTAGATGAAATCTCCTTCATGCATAAAACTCTGCAAACGATGTCCAGGGCAGCAGAAAGTTATGTCACTGTCGGTCAGCAAAGCCTAGCTAGTAGGACCAGGTAGTGTTCATCCAGGAAGTGGTCGTGTGCGTGCAACTCTCACAGCTCTTGATAGGTCAGGACGGGAGAGCTCAGGGCGTGCTAGCAAAGTAGAGAGAGAGGTTCCGGAAGGTCGTTAGTCTGGATTACTCTACTTTACTAGCCGTCACGTGTCGATAACTTTAACTCAACAGTCGGTGGGGTTGTGGCTTTTGCCACTTTTTGGCTTGACACTGCCACAGTGAGTCTAGCGTTCTCCACAATAGTAACGCCTAAGCGAACCGTGAGGCTCTGGAAGGGGGCCGCCGTTGAAGAAGAAGCTCTTCTCTTCTGTTTGGTGCTGAAAGGGCTGTTCATCCCTCCTTTTCTCTCTGCTGGGGTGATGAACCCGCGCCTCAATGAAAAGAAAAACAGAAATGCAGGCGAATCAGAGCTCGCCCTGCACCTCGCCCACCATCACCCCACCCCACACAACCGGAATCTCCGACAAGAGTGATTCCTCATGACGCACCACACGCGCCGCCGTGTCACTAGCGATTATCGGTTGGTCGCCGAGTCTGCGGGGTGGAAATGATTGATGAGAAAACTTGGCATGGCCCATAACATGGCTAAGGGTACCGTTCCCGGCCGGGGGAGACGGCTTTGGAACCGGCCGAGTTTCACCCAACTGTCTTGTCCGACAGGAAGAGTTCCCATTACTAAACATGAGAGATGCGAGGCGTTCCTTGGAAAAGCTTATCGGATGCTTCCCGCCATATCTCGTAGTACGAGTGGGTATTGGTAAACCCATCTGTTTCTTAGTGTGTATGTAGATCCATTTTTGATGGGTGAAGAGAAGAGAAGAGTAGAGAAGAGAAGAGGAAGAGGAAGAGTACACGCGATCAAACGATAATGAGATGAGGCACCACGTGGGAAAAAAAAGGTGTTTCTAGGAAATGACTGAAATGACTGTAAGCTTCTATTCTTGGCACGTACGGGCAAGCAGCCTGAACATTTGATTTGGGGCCATGTGCTGGCTGGCCTACATGTAGTTACCCAAAGTACCATGATGCAGGTACTTTCCTAGTACTCGAAGCCTAGCTGCCCGGCTGACGATCGGGACGACGCGTACGGAGTAAGTGCCAGGGACGTTGTGCCTATCTACTCGGACGTACTCGGAGTGCGGGATGGATTCGTCATGGATAGACTTGTTAATGATGTTTTAGACTTGTCGATCTTGTTAACTTTGAGCCAAGATAGTAATAATTTGCATTTAGTAACGCCAGTGCCGGCGATCCGAAGATGATGATAAAAGATAAAATATACAGCAAAACAGAACAAAGGAAAACTGTGAAGTCCAGTAGCAGTAGTAGTAGTAGTAGTAGTAGCGGTAGCAGTAATAGTACTGTACCAATGCAAATATCCCCCAAGCATGTAGCTCTGACAAAAGAAAACCGACAATAAGAAAAAGAAAGACCCACAAAAACTCCCAGCCCCGTTCCCATCCGTACAACAATAAATATACACTTTATACAACCCTTTCCTCAAGAACAGGGTATCTCGAACCACCCTCCAAACTCCAGTAAAAGCAATAATAATCAAAAAATAGTAAAAAGGCTGAAATAAGTCCCCACCCCTCCTCTTCCTCCCCGTAGTAGTCTTGGGCTTTAGCAGTCAATCCAACTTTTCGCTGTTCCACTTTTCATATTCCGGCCCGGACAACACACAAGATGCACAAAGCAGCCAGCAGCAAAATCCCAGCGCATTCTTGGCCCCGTTTATAAACTTCTTGGAAACATTCTTCTTCTGCTTCCGTACCGACTTCTCGTTGTGTGTGTAGTAGGTACCCGTACACGGATTCTCGGCGAATCGTGCCTTTTTCTGCTGTAGTGGTGCCGATAAGGAATGTAGCCCCATATGCTCGTGAGCAGAGGATCGTGTGGAGGTATTTGCAGTGACGGTAAGAGACGAATCGTATGATTTGGTAGTAGATAGTGATTCGAGAGATGAGGCTCTGCCTCGACGAGTTCGTGTGGTAGTAGTGGCAGTCATTGTGGATTTGGGGATCGACATTAACAAGGTTTATTATGTAGTTTCTCTATCTTCCAGGTCGATTGTAGGGCCTATATCGATAGAAAGGCTGCTTGATGAGGGGTACCTGGTTATATAGGTACTTGGGTTGTGTAGTGGTATGAAGGTTGTTAGATAAAGTGGTCACTCGAGGACCGATCGATCGATATAGTAGTGGTAGTAGCTGTCGTGGTAGTAGTAGTAATGA